TATGCAAATGTAGCATTCTTGGGCTCCCTAGAGTTTGGCACTGGGATGTGGAGTCCAGGCGGGAGAAGGGGGAACCAGGCCCCCTTCTTTTCACATCGCTGCTCTGCACTGTGAGGGGACTGTGTTTATCCCAGCCCTCACACCCACGCCAGCTCTGTCCACGCTCCATACAAACAGCCACCCCTTAACCTCTCCCTTGGGCCTAGGGGTGGCTCACACCAGGGGCGTGATCCCCCTATAGAGGATGGACCCAGAGGAGAGGCCCATGTGGCCCTGAAAGTGGTTTGGGTCCAACCAGGCAGGGAATTCTGGGTATCCTGGATTCCCAGAGTGTGGTCTAAAGGTGCGTGGGGGGATCGAACTGCATGGACATGTCTTGTTGGCCCTACAGACTCCTCACCCTTTTAGGGAGCACAGGGGCTGGAGGAGGGTCACTGGTGGTGGGGTGGGGCTCTAAAGTGTGTGCTGCAGAGCAGGGGCCTCTCTTCCCTGTGTCTGAGATGCACCACACTTTGGGGGTGAGCCCATCCTGGGGCCCTTGGAGAGTTTGCTCATTGGGTTCAGGGCTTGATGGTCAGAAACTTAGCTGGTGCCTGCCACATGCAAGAGGCCAGGTGGGGGACTTTCCGAGCATGGTTTTCCAAGAAAGACAAAGACCTGTGTGATTTATGGGGGCTTCTTTCTGACTGTTTGTCAGGCACTTTTCTCTGACACTCTAGCTGAGCTCCCCTTGGCAACTTCTCCCTCTTTTGCTTGATCTCTATCCTGCCCTAATCCTAAATACAGTGTGCAGATCCATGGAGAGGGTACTGGGAAGGTGGGCACCTGCCAGGGGCTCCCTGCCCCCCAGCTGTCCATCCTGTTCACATGCACAGGTGCTCTCCCAAGGCAGTTACACTCGACAGAAAAGGGGCAGGGCCAGGAAAAGGCGAGGAAAGGGGAAATTCTATCCCTGGGAGTAGCAGAGCTAGGTTCAGTGCCCAGGACCCAGAATCCAGTCCTCAGTGCCGCTGGGCTCATGAGACACGCATGGGAATGTCCTCACCTGAAACTTCTACTGAGACGGCTGCGGCGATGACCCTCAGAGTCACAAACACCAAGAGTAAAGTGGTCATAGTTCACCTGGAAGAGGGGAGGCAGAGGTGTTATTTGGAGGTTCGGATACGGTGAGGTTGAGGAGGGTCACGTGACACCTAAGACAAGGTGATAAACTCCACACCCAAGGACCTGAAATCACATTGAGATAAGGAGGCTGCAAGGATCCTGTCCTCACAAAACCCTCACAGATTTCCCAGAGAAGGCTCTATCCTAAAGGATATCCGTGATGGTTGGTAGTCTCAGACCTTGACTGGGCCACAGGGTGCTCAGCTAGCAGGTCAAACATTATTCTGATGTGTCTGGGAGGGCATTTTTGGATGTGCTGTCACATTAAAATCGGTCGACCAGTCAAACAGATGACCTTTCCTAATGTGGATGAGCTTTGTCTAATCAGCTGAAGTCCTGGATAGAACAAAAGACTGGGCCTCCCTTGAGTAAGAGATAATTCCTCTGCCTGATGACCTTCAAACTGCCTTTGGACACAAACTGAAACATCGGCTCTTCCTGGGTCTCAAGCTTGCAGACTCAGGCTGGAACTACACGCCGGGTCTCCTGGCTCTCCAGTTTGCTTCATGCCTCCATGATCATGTGAACCAATTCCTTATAATCTCTCTCTCTCTCTCTCTCTCTCCCTCTCTCTCCCTCTCTCTTTCTCTCTCTCTCTCTCTCCCTCCACCCCCCATCCAATTGGTTCTGTCTCTCTGGAGAACCTTCAGGCCCAGAGAAGTGACACGAGTTACCCAACCTCCCTGATGAAATCCAGACCTGCCACCAACTTCAAATCCAGAAATCTCATGTGTTTTAGAACAGAGGATGTGCCAAGGATTTGGACAAGATTCAGAGATCTGGCTCAAGTCAGGGGAAGGACGCCCACCCAGAGGGCTCTGAGGAGGCTGCGGGATGGACAGATTAATAATTTAGGAGAAAGACAAGAGCCAAGAGCCCCGAGAGTCCTCCTGTTGGCCCAAACCATGACTTCATATGAATTAAAAAAAAAAAAAAGCCTTCCTTTTTGTCATCTGCTGAAAAACTGTCATGGTAAGTACACAAATCTGTGACAACCACAACGTAAAAGGAATCTCCTACACGATTGCGACCCTGACTCCAAGTGGGCCGGTGCAGGTAGACCCCAAGAAAGCCCAACTGAATTTACAACAGATCCAGCAAAGCAATGGTTCTCAACTTCAGCTGCACACGGAAATCACTCAGGCTTCGGCCTGGTCCTCAGGCATTTGCAAAGCTCCCCAGAAGGTTGTATCGTGCAGCCAAGATGGAGCCCCACTGGCTAGATACCTGGCACTTGCATTTCATGATGCCTGCCTGATGATATCTGTGGGTTGTCCTGTTGGATGGACCTGCATCGGCGCCTACCCCGCCCTCCTCTCTAGTCCGTGTGCATTTAGTCTTGGTTTCAGACATGTGTGCATCACAGATGCTCCCCAGAGAGAAGGGAGGAAGCCTGGGACTAATAAAGATAAGGATGGAGCTCTCGGAAGCTGTGAGTGACTCTCAGCCGAGGCGATGGCTCCAATCTCCCCGCCCCTGGCTCTGTCAGAGTCCGGTGGCCCAGCAGGTGTCGCTGTTGGCTCAGTCATCATCAGGTCTGGCTGGATGGATCTGGGGATGAGAGACCTCCTGGGGTTCCCATCCTAGGAATGCCTGGGGGAGAAGTGGGTGGGGCCCAGGGTTCCAGGGGAGCCCTCTTGGGTGACCCTAGCCTGTTGTTTTGAGTGATCTTTCCACTACAATCCTTCATTCATTCCATCTATCTATCTATCTATCTATCTATCTATCTATCTATCTATCTATCTATCACCCTAGAGATAAAAAGGGTGTGTGGGTACAGAGATGAATGCATGAGGCAGGTTCCCTCACACTTTGAAAAGTCCCAAAGGCCTAAGAAGCAGCTCCTCACTTCTTCTCAGGGATTTTTCTCCTTAGACGCGCCTTCAATAAAACAAACAAAAAACCTCTAGGTCTTTAGGTTCTGGCACTGTGAGGGGTCGCTGTTACTCAGGCCCAGGGTGACCAGTCACAGCCGGGAAGTAGTCCCCCAGAGGCTCGAAGGGTAAGGTGTCCCCTCTACTCTGGGGAGGGGGCGAGACTTGTGGGCTCCTCTCTTCCCAGTGTCCCAGGGATTCCATGTGCGGACACAGGGCCGGCCTGTTCCTCTTCCCTCAGGACACCCTTCACTGGGAAGTTTTGTGTATGTTTTCAGAGTTGTGTTTCTTCCCTCACTCTCTGAACAAGCCCGACATTGTCCAGGATGCTGTGGTTCTCCGTGGGGCTTGGGCCCTGCTCTGTTTTCCTCCCTGGCCTCGACCAGAAATAAAAAGGGTGGGGATTTGGGTTGGGGGTGGAGTGGGCAGAGAAACTCATTTTATTTCTTCTTCTTTTTTAAAGACAAACTGTGGGATAGAAATATCGCAATAAATATGCTCTTGTGTTTGTGTTTTCTTAGCTGTAAAGAAAATAGGGAGAAATTCCATTCTGTCTGGGTTCCAAGTGTCTCCAGGACTCACTGAGTCTTTTATGTGAGAAAAGATGGACTTTGCCAGCCCGTCAACAGGGAGGCCTTTCTCCACCGGAGCAAAGTTAGATGGTGGTGAGAGGATTGTGTACCTGGGGCAGAGGAAGGGGAAAGGGGGCGCCTGAAATGTAGCGAAGGAAGGGCTTGGGGGTGCAGGAAGTGGAGGGTGCTGGGTGAAGGCCGGTGTGTGTGTGTGCGCGTCAGAGAGAGCCCCATAGTTAGGGAGACCCTTTACCTCCTCATCAGCTAGACTCTGTCCCATCGTTGCCAACCTGCCGGGGGCCTTGGCTTTTATTCATCAAATTATGGGACTGAACGGACGATTCGCCAGCTTGCCATGAATTCCTTTTCAAGCCCAGTGGAGACCCCCAGACCTGGGGCCCGGCCCTGGCTCAGCTACCTACTGTTTTGTGTCGTTTTGTGTTTTTTTTTGCTTACTAATCGTGCATTGAAAGCAGTAAGACGTTCCATGACACCAGATAACACCAGTTCTGAGGTTTTCCCCAAGATAAAGTTTAACAGCCCCAGCTTCTTCAGTGTTTATCCAAATTCCAAAGAGAAAAGCAGAGGTGGTTGTTTTTGATGACAAATCTGAGCCTTGCAGGCTGAAGGGAGGGAGGGAGTGAAAGTGGACGAGGGCTCTGAGGGGCTGGACTCTAGGATGACTGGTTACCTGCCCGTGCCCCTGCTGCTGAGACCCAGACAACTCGGAGGGAGCAAGCATGTGTGGGGACCACGGGACTCCCGCTTGGACCAGGGCAGTCCCACCAAAGCACCACGCTGACCCAAGGGAAGGCTGGGGTCCCTCTGAGGGGTCCGAGGGCAGGCCGCCTACTGCTTTAATAATACAGGACCCACGCCCGTGGCTGTTTAAAGACTGAGTGAGATACTGGGTCAGTTAGTCCCCATTCTTGAGGGTAGGACCTGGCTCAGTCCCCAGCACAGAGTCTGGCACCCAGCAGGCATCCATCAACGCCAGCCTGCTCCCTCCTCCCTGGTGTCAGGCCTGGGTGAGCCTCCCCAAAGGTGGAGACGGGACGTGAGCTTACCGGTGGTAGGAAGGTTCCTTGTCCTAGGATGAGCGCTGGACGAGATGACTTTCCATAAAGAACAAAACGGCCTTCATTTCAAAAACAACATCGCCACACTACCAAACACTTGGGAGACGAGATAGCCAATCACCAGAATCCCAAATTCCAATCCAACCATTAGTCGTGTTTTGATAGTTTTCCTTCTAGGCCTTTTCCTAGGACAACCACTTGTGTTTTACGGAATTGCCGTCTTTTTGTGTCCTGTTTGCTTTTTCCGTGTAACACAGTGCACCAAATGATGGTTTTTTCTTTTGTTTGTTTGTTCCTTCAGAACTGATGACTATGGGTTCTCCAGTCATGACCTCCCTGCCAGGGATCCTGTCCACATGTCCAAGGCAGGGGATCTTCAGCCTCTGACTGAGCAGAAGGTATGCTCATTCTTTCACAAGGTAGCCCGAGCCATGGCTGGGCAGCTGTCTTTATGCTCAAGACCTTCCAAGGGGGAGTCAAAATGACCCACTCCTATTATAATTTCCACCCATGACTTCTACCCTCAGGGACCACCCTCAACATGTCCACTCCCCTTTCATGAGACTCATGACAGACCTTTTTAAAAAATTTTTTTAAGCTGAGCCATCCTGCCACCTGTTGGCAGCTCAGCGGCTGCTCAGCTCAGGCTGGACTCGAACCGCTGTTGCTCAGAGCTCACACTCTTGAGCAAGCTCTGAACCAACTGAGCCAATCGGCCGGCCCTTCATGACAGATCTTTACACTGACCTGCTCTCCCGTCTGCCGTTCCCCCATGAAGCCTTTCCCACTCCCTTTGGCTCTTCCTCATGGGGCTTCCCAACCTCTTCTCCCTCCCTGGGGCCACAGAAGTTCAGAGCTTGGATAGACTTGAGTGAACAGCAAGCCCAATTTCTTCATTCTACAGGCGAGGAAACTGGTGCCCAAAGCGGTTAAGTGAGTTGCTCAAGGCCACACAGTAAGTTGGAGACGGAGCCAGGACCAGAACCCGGTTCTAGAGACCCGGCTGTCATAATCCCGTGTTTGTGAGTGATAACAGGATAGCCATCATGTCTTTCTTGTTCCTCAGTCTCCCTGGGCCCCAGCAGAGTGCCCAGCATAGACAGAGGCAATGGGGAAGTGTCTGCTGAATGAATGAATAAGCAAATGAGAAGTCTAAGCACCTGAGAAGCCATTTCCTGCAACTCCAGGCCTCCAAGGGAGGAGGGGTGGGCCTGGGGGCTCACATTTGGGGAGCACCCATGAGGCAGGTGCACAGCCCTTTGAGGCAGCCCACTCCCCTTTTGCATTCAGTAAATCTCAGCTAGAGAGACATATTGCTTGCTTGTGATGTGCACGGCTTTATTGATTTATGCTAGCACATCAGTACAGCGTGACTTTGCGAGGTCACAGTCGATCGCAGCCCAGCTGGGTGACAATCAGTGTCTTCCCTTCCCAGGTCCCCAGAACCAGAGGTGTGCTGGAGCTGGCTTGCACCAGCTCGCCAGAGCCCATTTTAAACACGTCTTCCCAACTGTGTGTTTAGTGACGTCACGTTGGTCGCTTGAAATTGGTCACGATGTGGGTATTTACACCATGGAAATCAGCAAACACTTGAAAACGGGGTCTTTTTCTCCTCCCCCCTTTTTGAGAGGGGTCTTTCCAGCACACTACTGGAAGGAACTAATACTAAATAAAGACCAAGGCTGGGGGAAGGATAACACGCACTTCTCTTTTTCTATCTCTTGAAGCCTCACTTTCCACTCATTGTGCTGTCCTGCATGAGTCCCAGAGGTCCTTGGACCAGTCTGCTAGCCCTTCGGGCAAGGCAGGGCCATGTTCACCTCCATGCCGTATTCTCAGGCCCAGCCGGATGCTGCCACATCAGTGCAGACTCAGCCAACGTTTGCTGGATAAGAGGACGTAAGTCCTCCCGTGGACCCTGCTGGGCTCCTGTGTCCTTGTCCCCTCGATTCTGCTCTCCCAACTGTGACTGCTCCTGCAGCCACTGTAGCACTTACATTTTCTCCTATTGTTTTACATACGCTAGCTTTGCTTCATCATGCAGACTGTGACCTCTTTAAGGCTGAAAGACAAGCCTTAAGTTAAAAAAAAAAAAACAACACACAAAAAAACCCTCTGTGTTAACTCACACGGTGCTGGGGACAACAGAAATGGTATTTGGCACCTACTTGTTGGATGAACCGGTGGACCTCGGGATTTGGTACACTGGTTGACCAGCAAGATTTGCCAGTAGCCACGTGGCTCTGTGTCCGTGACGTAAGTCCTGGGGGTAGGGATTAGAAAGGACCAAGGCCACCCACTGTCCCAGCCACCGGCCTGTAGCACATCACTTACTTACAGGTTAATCTCCCAACAGTGCCTCTTCCCTTGTCATTTGTGGACAAGACCCATCCTACATCTGTGCATGGAAGCGGTGGCCTATGCACTTGAGTTTGGGACTTTAAACCCACATAGGGAAACGTGCAAGGATTCCACACCAAGGACACATCTGGCCAGAGTGACCCCAACCAAAGCAGCCAATTTCCCACATATCGTAAGCAGACAAGGTGAGATGGTGTGGGAAGGGGGAACCAGGAAGCTGATGCCAGTCTAATCCCTATCCTAATTCACTGGGGAACGCATGCAAGCCCTTAGTTTTCCCATCTGTAAACTGGGACCATAATGCAAGCTTCACCTCCAGGAAAATGGTGAAGGTCATTTTCGTGGATGTTAATACTTTTTCGTATTTCCTTCTCTTTCTGTGCTCTCTCCCTTCCTCCTCTTTCTTACTCTCTCTCTCTCTCTCCCTGTAGTTGTGTTTTTTCCATTCCCTTGATTTCCTTATTCCTATTTTATTACTTGCTCTTAGACCTAATTTACATGCTGCCTCGTGTGGATGGTCATTTGATCTGCAATGAAAGCAAACGATGGGCACCCCCACCCCCACCTTGGTTCACCTAGGGCTCACTCCTGCATTCACCCCCAAGCCTGGGGGGTGTACACAGGATATGGGTTTAACTAAAACTGTAAACTGTAAAGTAAGGTCCTAACGCTGCCACTGCCCTCTCCAGTGAACAAGGCTTGTCACTCTCAGGGCGTCTCTGTGTCACTGAATGAGGGCAGCCGTCCCCTCTCTACCCTTAGGCAACAATGAGCATCTTACAGCCAGAATAAGCTTACACAGTGGTTTCGTGGGCCCGGAGTGGGGCAGGTTGGGCCAAGCAGGGAGGGGTGGGTGATTCCCCAGACAGCATCCCCGGACAAAATAGAACTCAGAGCCACGCCGGCCCCTGAGGAAGGCTGTAATTCCAAGGAGCTGGGGTAAGGTTGAGTCTAGGAGCTGGGAAGGAAAGCTGGCCATGGGTGGTGCTTTCTAAGGGTGGGGTGGCTGCAGCCATCCCTGGCCCCGAAGCCATGCCCGGACCAGGGTGGGCACTTAAAGGCAGAATTCAGCTCCATACCATCAGCCTTTCCTCAGCAGTCCCACCTCTCCCTACTCTCAACTGAAAGTTCCCAGTAAAACCAGTTTAAGTGGAGAGGTACCTGGCACGATTAATGGCTCCTGAGTCACCCACCAGGGACGTTAGCTTTGCCCTGTTCTCTTTGTGGAAAAAAACCTGGTACTTGGGACCTGCCCCTTCCTGTGCTTAGTCTTCCGTTCCAGCCCGGGCACTTGGAGGTTTTCTCGAATTAATTTCAGACGTTGTGTAAATATCGGACCTCGGATTTTGGAAAGGAGTGTCTTTCAGCCCAAACTTTCCATCAGGCACAAGCGCCTTTCCTGGGGCCGGGATCTTGGGCCAAGAGCTGAGTTCCTTCTCCTCGTGCAGAGAGCTCTCTCCTGCAGGAATTTGGTCAGGTGCTAGGGAACCCAGCTTGACTCCTTGGTGGCCTCCCTGGGTGGGAATTGAGCCTAGGTTTTAAAAATGACCTCTGGTAAAAGTTTCTAGAAACCGAGGGTCCTGGTGAAAATGCCTGATTGCCATAAAGGGCCATCAGGTTTCTGGGGTTACGGCCGAATTCCTGGGCAAAGGGAAGGGCCAGGTGTCTGGGATGATGCAGCTGAGAGAAAACAGGGACAACTGGCCCAATCCCTTAAACTTTTGGGGCAGAGGCTCAGGTTCTTGGAGTTTAGTGTGGGACCAGTCAAGAGTAAGAAAGAAGACGGGTTATTTGGAGTCAAACCTCCTTCTTCTGACCCTACTTTGCATGCCTTGATCCTAGGGAAAGACGTCATGGAGAGCGCCCACTTAGCTCTGTTTGGGTCACGCTTCTGTTAGAGAGTCACTGTGGGTCTCATGGCCTCGCCGAGTTCCGTGAGTCTTTCTATGAATGACTGAACCAGAGGGTGGCCCTGTGGACCTCCCGAAATGGCACCTCCCCTGCTCTGTCAGGTTAGCTTGTCCTGCCCAGGATGGTTCAGTGTTGGCTGAGTGGTCAGTGGACAAGGCCTCTTTATCCCGGCCATCCTTCAGTGACATTGCTTTCCCTTCTTGGGGCACGGGCTCTGCAGAGCAGAGAGCATTCCTTTTTTGGCGCTGATGTGGAGGAAATAATGGCCTCTCCTCTGGAGACGTTCCAAGCACTTTTTGGCTTTCCTCCTGCCCTCTTTTCCTTTCTCAAACTCCCACCATGTGGAAAACGGAAGTGGGTGCTGAGGGGGACCCATGTGAATGCTCCGCTGGGGTGGGACAGGAGATGAGATATGTGAATAGATCCTACAGGAGGGAGAGCCTCTCTTAGTGAGAGGGCTCCTGAAGCCGAGAGGATGCAGAAATAGCTCCTGTTTGGGACACCTGGGAGAGCAATGAAGAAGAGGTGGCATTTGATCTGAGCCTTGACAGAGGGGGCCATGTAGAGGCAGGGAAAGGGCATTCTAGGAAGAAGGGATCATATGAACAAAGGCATGGGGAAAGGAGTAGATCCAACTGGTGTAGGACCAAAAAAAGCTAGAAACAAAGCTGGGCCAGATGCTGAAGCCCTCCACGATTAGGCTACTGAGTCTGGCTTCATTCTGTAGGTGACGGGGAGGCTCTCCAGCCTTCAGGGGATGACCTGATCTGGGGTGTGTGTCCGGAGGAAACCAGTCTCCACTATCGCTGCTGGCTGGCCCTGCCTCGGAGAAGTCCCCCTGGGGCCCCATCATGATCGAGTCCACCCGCTTCCATCACAGCAGGAACACACACTGCCTGTAGCAGGGAAATTGTGCCTACCCGGGCGTGCACTGTTTGTTCTTCACTGTCTCTCTCATCCATGAGCACCTATCACACTACTTCCTCTAAAAATTGCCATGTACTGAAGGTGGACCCCAAGCCAGCATGGTGTCTGACAGCATTTTGAAAAAAATGCATCCTCTCATTCAGAGCACACCGTCATGCTGCTGGGAGGGGGCACTGTTACTCGTGCCATTTCAGAACCGAGGAGACAGAGCAGGTAAAAAGCTTATCTCAAATCCCACAGCCAGGGGGTGACAGAGCCGGGTTTTAAACCCACGTGAGTCTGACTCCAAAAGCAAGTGCTCCTAACCGGTTTCCTGCTTCCCACATATGTGCCAGGAATGGGGGGTCCGCACGGAGGATGGAGCCTGTCAGGAGTTTGTTCTCGTCATCCAAAGGCCTTCGACAATCTGTGGCCCCAGCTTTAAAGCATGGATTCAATGAACAGACATGGGTTGGGTGCCTGCTACCGAAGGAATCTTCGCAGGGATTGGTCCAGCCCCGAGGCACCTTGGATTAAGGCCGGAACCTCAAGGAGCCTGCTCTCTGAGCCCCTCACAGCCCCTCTGACTCTCAACTTGTTCTAGGACAGCTGATGAAGGGCTGCAAACATCGACCTGACATGATGCTGCCTTCCCTGTCTATTTCCTCCCTTTCCAGCTGTCTCTAGCATGTCCCCAGTTCTCTGCCAGCCTCTCCTGTGTGACTGTCCCCTGCAAGGCTGTCAGGATTACAGTGCCCAATAGCCTCCCGACAGGATGTCACAGCAGCCACCTTCTGGGGACTCATGCTGTCTCCTGTCTCCCAGCTCCTTCCAATCAGGGTTTCTTCAGTGACAATGTCCTCACCTCACAAGAAATCTACTTTTCTTCTTCTTCTTCTTTTTTTTTTAAGGGTTCCTTTTTTTTTAAAAAAAAATTGTGGTAAGATTGAAAACAGGTCCACCCAAATCGTGCCCATTCTGGAAGTTTTAGATAAAACACCAGGGTCTCATCTGAAGAGATTCTCCAACTTTTTGCAAGTGAAGTCTTTAAATGCATGAATAGAGATACAATTTTTCAAAACCCAGTTTCCGTCTAGAATTATCAGCATATTAAATAATTCCAAATGTATAATTTCTGGATTATACTAAATATTGGTATTTTAAAATATAACTGCTACATTAAAGTTGTAAAAAAATTTTTTTTTAATTAAAAAATTGTGGTAAAATACACATAATAACATAAAATTTACCATCTTAAACCATCTCTGATAAAAGCACTGCCCTAAGGGAGACTACATTATTTATTTAATTGCTCTCCCCTGATAGAACTTCCTTTATATCTCACAGAGAAAGCACAGGTCTAAAACACAGTAGCAAGTCATAAAGGGTGTTACGCATTGAATTGTACCCCCCACCCCCACCCCTGCCAGAAAAGATATGTTGAAGCCCTAACCCCCAGTACCTGTGAATGAGACCTTATCAGGAAATAGCATTTAGCAGATGTAATCAAGTTAAGAGGAGGTCATTCAGATGGGCCCTGAATCCAATGTGACGGATGTCCTTGTAAGAGGGGAAGACAGCCACGTGAAGACACAGACACACAGGGAGAACGTCAAGTGACGACGGAGGCAGAGATTGGAGTGATGCAGCTGACAGCCAGGGACGCCCAAGACTGACAGCCACTACCAGAAGCTAGGAAGAGGCAAGCGATAGAACTGGAGGTTCCAACCGTGGTAGAACCTACAAATATCAATGTATTCCTAAAAGCAGCTGCTCCCCCACAACGTTCGAGTGAGTGAATCATGAACTATGAAGGGAAGCCAGGGAGAGGGGGCGGTTGGCAATATGGAAACTGGGCATTCCTCTGCCCAGCTGGGTCACTGGTGCCTTCCATTGGTGGAGAACATGAGCTGGCCCTGGGTGGTGGCCCTTCTGACAGTGTAGAGTCCCCGAGCCGTGGCCAGGGTGAGGTGTGACTGCTGCTGAAGTGGCCGGGGCAGATGGGGACTCTTCCCAGACAACTGCCCAGTTCAGTAGACAGAGCACTGGCAGTTGGGAAATTCGGTTCGAGTTCCAGCTCTGACACCGTCCAGTGCCACACCCTATGGTAGGACCTATTCTTTTCGAGGTCCCAGTTTTCTTGTGCATGTCGGTGGCTTTCAAAAAGCATACAATTGGAGTTATTCTGATGGAATCTGGCACAGGGACCCCCGGCACCTAAATCACTGCCCCTCTGGGCATGCCTCTGTGGTCCCTGTGGGATGTCATAGACCCCCTCCCTGCTAATTTCCTGGATCATGATTGAAAAAGCACTAGACTGAAGTCATTTGTCTGGCCAGCAGACTTTTACTGAGCACCAACTGTGTGCTAAGCATTTTCTAAGTGTTAGAGAGAGAAGA